GCGCCCCCCCCCCCCCCCCCCCCATTACAGACATTAATGAGTTTAAAATTGTGCTAATTAGTAGCTTGACTAATTTAACTGCTATTTCTTACTTTTTTAATTACAGACTACACGAAAAAGGCAATTATTGCCCATTACAGACCATAGCAACTAGCGTAGGGTACCATTACAGACCATAGAAACTAGTCGCTGCCATTGTTAAATATACGAACTAACAATTCATACTCCATTACAGACATAAGCAAATAGGCAATGACCTAATCATAGGTTTTGGAAATCAAAGTAGATTTTTCAGATGAACTATTTTGAATTATTTTAGTAAGCCTAACGGATATATGTGAGCTCCACATTTTAGCTCCGAAGGGGCTGCGCTAACAAGCTTTTATTTGTTATTGAACTCAGCTAGTTACTCCATATACGGATATTCGGTAAAAACATTGCTCGTGTGATTATTTTTTTTCTCTTGTCAAAAGAAAATATTTGTTACATTTTAAAATTTATTCATAACCATGAAAAGTAATATCGTTTGAAAGAGAGTTTTCTTACTTCCTATTAATTATCGATAATGAGTTTAAAGAATGGATACATCAAATGGAATACTTAGTCATGAACAATGTATTTTCTGATATTTTATAATTAGTAAATTGAATGGATTTACTGCAAAAAGAATTTTTGAGCGAATAAAATAAAAAGACGTTTCTTTTTTTATGGTCAATTAATGAAAAAATCTCGTGATGCATTAAAAAAGCGATCTTCAACGACTTCGTTGAATCCTCTCATTAAATAAAGTAGAGTAAAAACAGAGTATGAACAAGCTAATTTGTTATTTTGGCTCGAGAGGTTTTATTCCATAAATTCTACTGCTACGCATTTTTCTTCATGACGCATAGAGAAAAGAGAAACCGCCATAATCTTTTGACAGTCTTTCCCTATTTAGAACAATCAGAAATTCGGAGCGAAACGATTTTGATTCGATCTAGTTTTTAAATCTTTCATGTCACACACAGATTTTCTATTTCTCTTTATCATTAGATTATCAAAACATAATAAGAGGAATAATCTGTTGGGTAAATGGTATGAATTGCCGATGAAATCCATTTTCAAAGTTTTTATTTAGTATGTCAAATACCGCACGCAAATCTTGAGTTATTAGCAAAAGAGACACTCAAACCGATGAGATAAATTACTCGTATCCGAAGTTGATTGTAAAAAAAAAAACTTTCTCACGCAAAATTCACTAGGTATAAAGCTTAATGATATTCCATGGATCATATTCAGATAATTAATTCTTCTTCTGTATGCAAAAGAGCACTATTGAAAATTTACTGCTTATTTATAATTCTTTGAAGTATATTATCTCTCCATCAACCGGTATCTTGGATGCGCATGTTAAGAGAGCAAATTTGTTGAAGAAGAGAAACAGAAAGATCTTTATGACACAAAAATGAGCGAATGAAAAACTATTAAGATGCTAGAAGCAATATGGTTTTGGATAAAAAAAAGGATAGAGAAAAGAGAAGAGAAAAACCATGAAAAAGGAACTGACTGAAAATAATAATTGATGCTAGATACCTAACACCAACAGAATATATCGCGCGTCAGCCAACAACAACACTTGGTGATGAAGAAGAAAATATCTAAGCAGTATATGCCTTTGTAAATCCAAGATGGCGTTATCAAAGTTATTTCTTCTAGTTTTTCTTTTCAAAATGACTTACATTGAAGGAGGTAATTGAAAATGTTTCTGAAAAATATTAGATTATTTTCTTTTTATTTTAATAGTTGAAATTCAATGTCCCGATTTATATTCGACTAATAACGATACTGATTTATGTTATTATAATACTAAAAACTCTTATTCATGGTCTGATGCGTATAATCAATGTTTAAGTGGAACGGCTGATGGAATACTTATTCAAATATTTTCTACTGATCAATTTAATTTGTTAAAAAAAATAAACATTGATGGAGCAGGTTTATTCTGGTTAGGCGCAAATAATTTTGCATCGTGTAAGTTTAGGAAGCTATTCTTAAAATTAAATATTCGAGCTGAAACATTTCTGAATGATGTTTTCAAGGATAAATAACATCCTATAGTCAAGTATCTTTGCGTAGTTTTTAGTAATTATTTTCATGGAAACGTTTTTTTCTATTACCTAAAAATTAATTATAAATGTGAGATGAAATCGAGCGTGAGAGATTCTTCCGGTAATAGAATTTTGTGTTTTTTCTCAAGAAAAAACAAACTCGTTCAAATTTAAGTTTCTTCTACAGAAACTATTAAGTGAAGATGAGGTACTATTGAAATAATTTATTAATGACTAGATTCTAGAGCAAGTGTATCAATTTAGTGAATGCTAAATTCAAAACAAGAAAATCGCTGAAATAACTGTAAAAATCTGTTTTATTTTCAAAAAAGAAATAGCGTGAATTTATTTAAAATTACTAATGAATAAATTTAACATAAGGCTATGATTGTTACATTAGACAACCGGATATGCCATTGAGATGAAAAATTCCAAACAAAAAAATGATGTATACTTCATTAAAAATGTGTACGTAGGTGTATGATAATCTATAGAAATGTAAAGAAACGTTGAAATTTTGACTACAGAAGTTTTCCTTTCTTTTTAACAACACGTTCATTCATATTAGTTATAAACCTATTTATAACATTTATCTGTTACAACTTTTCTACGTCTTATTTATAGACACAACAATTATTTATTTATAAAAAGTATTCGAATAATAATAACGGAGATGACGTGGGAGATTTTTAATGAAATTATTTTTTCTTCAAATTTTTATAATTAAATGATATATTAATAATAAAAAAAAAGGGAAAAATGAAAGCTTGAATACCACTCGAATTTATTTATTTTTTTTCTAACGCATATTCTCCGGATTCTTGCAGCTTAATTTAAAATCAAATTAGTTATGTAAAAGAACTATCAATATTTCAAATATTGAGTATGTTTCATATAAAAAAAAATTCTAGTTCATGATTCCCATTGGCATTGGCTTGATGGATCTATAGTCGATAGTTCAGTCATTACCTGGTGCTCAAATAGCACATATGGCACATCAATCGGTACACAATGTGCAGCTTACGATAGTATTTTACAATGTGTTAATAATTATTTTTGCAATATTCTGTTACCAGCTCCATGTGTGTCTGGTAAAAATTAATTAGTTCTGTTGTTCTTACATTTTTATTTGTATTTGAAATTTTCAGCAACAAGTGGTATAGATCAACGGGCCAAAATAAGTTTGATATCGCAGCCAAGAGCAACGTCTTTATGCGTAAGTTCATCCGCTGGTGCTTATGCAAATTGGTGGACATATTCACTTCTAATCATCAATTGGTTTATGCTTTTTTGTTTTCTTCTTTATTTATGCAATCGTTTTACTATAAATAAAAATACATTATTATTAATATCGATTTTTGCAATATTATCATTTATATTGATTATTATCTATGCCATTTTATGGGGCGTTCAATGTATGCTCAAATGAATGAAAACTTATTAATTTAATTTTCGTTTTTGTTTTGACTTAGATCAAGATATTATTCAAATACCATTAGCTATTGTTATAATTGGCTGTATAGCTATTGTACTTATTTTTGCTGGTTTATTTTTAATTTTGAACGATCGTACTCGTGGTAAGAGTTAGAGAAAAATTCTTTTTGGTGTAATATAAAAATCAAAGATTTTATGTTTAGTACATCGTTTTATGGGATGTATGATATTCGTATTGTTAACAATAGTTCTAGAATTATTTTTAATGCTTGGCTTGATTCTTTGTATTGCCTATTGTTCACAATATATTACACTTTCATGGTCAATTCTTGATAAAGGTTATTAGAATTGTTTTTTCTATAAAGATTTACTAACAATTACTTTTTCATTTAAAAATGCATATATGTATATATATATGCATTTCAGATATTAGTGCATCAGTATTAGCTTCAATAGTTGCTACCGTATCAGTGCTATTTTATACAGGAATACTTCATCTATTAGGTAATGATATAAATTGAATAAATTGCAATTTCGTGTTATTCTTATTTTAGAAAATGACGGCTATAATCGGATAAATGCAGTACAACCAAATCGTGCAAATCAGATTCCGCATGGATCAGCACCAGTATCCACACAGGCACCGATATCAACAACGAATTCTCATCATCCAGTACAAGCTAATGTCCAAATAAATCATCATCGTACACATCCAGTAGCACTATCAAAACAACATGACCGAATTGAACGAGCAACTTCACCTGTTGATGAACGGATTCTTAACGAATTTTATGCAGATCAACCGAAAGATGTACATCAATATAGCTTGGAAGGCAGAGAATATTTCGTTTATGAAGGAACAAATCTATCTGATATTGAATCGTATAGAAGAGGTAAGTAACAATAAAGAGAATTCATTTTCTTATTGCTTCAATCTTATATTATCATAACAGATTTGACACAAGCCATGTTATTACAAGAATCGCAAGGTCTTACTCATGCCATTGATCGTGCTAAAAGTTCAGTTTATGCGTCTAATCTTAGCGATGAAATTCATCAAGCTCAAGCTTTAGCTGCAAAATTAACATAAATTCAAAGCATATGACATAATTTATTTAGAATGTGTGCCCGCTTCAGTGAATACTAAATTTTTTTGCTGTTGTTTTTGCTTTTTCTCTGTTATCTTTCGCCGGTTTATACCTACTGAAATCATTTTAGATTTCTTTCTTTCCCATTTTGGTTTGAACATGAAGACGAAAAGAAGAAAAAACGGCAGTGTATGAATGTATCTTTATATTCAAATCTTTGAACGATGTGTTTATGTAAAGATGTTCGAATTTTATATATATGTACAACACAAAAAAAGAACAAGGATACTGACGATGTTTATATCAGGAAAAAACCATACGTGGATACAATTAAAGAAAAAAAATAGAAGAAAACAACAACATCTATTTTGCCACGTTTCGTTTTCACCAGAAGAAAAATACTTCGGTCAACTAATAGTTGAAATAAAGCCTTATCAGAGATTTATATATATATATATATAAACATAGATACATATAATAATCTTAATGAGCGTTTCTTTAACAATAAAATATCGTTTTTTTTTTTGTTGTTGTTGTTTAGAATTTCTAACGAATAGAATAAATCTTTTGTTTCTTTTAGTAGAATAAACAAAGCGGCGAAGAAAATATTTACAAGAAAACATACACAAATGAAAAGAATCAACTATCATTTGGTCCTCCTCCTCCTCCAGTCGGTGCTAATCGTTGCTTTTTTCCTGTTGAATTAGCGTTTGAAGCGCTTCGTTTCAACGAAGTATTTGCAGTTGAATTGTGATATGGCGTTTGTTGTTGTTGTTCTTGTAACCATCGTACTTGTGTTGCTGGTCCATATCCACGTTCATTACGTGCTGCTATACGAAATATAATTGCTGGCTTACTACTAGAACTTGTATCAAGATGTGCTTGCAGAAGTTGGCCAGCATTGACAGAACATTCAGCTAATGCACCGCCATAAACACGAACAAAAGCCATTTGAGATGCTTGTTGTTGATGTTGACGTGGTATCGTATTATCGAGTGTTGTATTTTTTACTGCCAAATAAACAGCATAACCAGTTATTAAACATGAAGCATTTGATGGAGCATCCCATGATAAATGAGCACCACCATCAGGTGTCTAAAATGAAAAAGATTGTTGAATTTTCTTCTCATATTTACTGATGAATAATATGAACTCTTTATTCAAATCTATTTATATTGAAAATATAGTAATAGAAATCATAAGGCAACTTTTATCTGATTAATCATGGAAGGTTATCAATGGTCTATACATTATTTCAGGTAAACTCAAATAGTATTGTCATTCCTTGTAATCTTGGATTTTAAAAATATTGAACTTACACAAATTTTTTTATATAGAAATCTTCGTTTTGCTCTTATGTCATGTTGCAAAAGTTCATCTTTTAACAAAGATTCCTTAAAGTTAATGTACCCCGTGAGCTAAGTTTTACAGTGTATTCGAAGTGTAATTAATTTTATTAAATTTGAAAAAGTGATCCTGGGGAATTTCTCAATGCGGAAAAACCATTGATTTCGTTTGACGAACTCATAAGATTATCAAGTAACATTCCAAGTAGGAATTATCTTGTTTTAAAGCCAGAAGCATTTACATACGTAGAAGCAGATTATTTTGCTATTATAAAGGTGCGGTCAAAATTTTAAAAGATTCAATATAGTATTATCACACAAAATATAACTTTATATTACAAGTTTTCAGATCGTATTGAACTCAAGAAATTATACTATTTGACAACAAGAAAAATTCAAACAACTGAAATTAATATCGCAATAGTCTAACGATCAAATATTCTAAATACAAATCATTATTTCTTAATTGTTCGTTTTTCTTTCAGAATTCTATTCATCAATCAGTATATCATACCTTAGTAATTCTAATATTCGATGGTGCTGGTGGTGCACCAGGTAAACATGTTTTGAATGCTGCTGCTTCGCTCCATGGACCTCTTCCACATGAATTTACTGCTGCTATTCGTAGTTTATAAATAACACCTGGTTCAAGGTCCACTTTTTTCACTAAATTCTGAACTTGAAGCGAATTGAGATCCTTTAAGAAAAAATATGCAAATAATAATCTTCGTCGAAGAAGAGACAATCAACGTACATAATTGTCGATATTGATATGAGATGGAACAACATAATAATGTTTAATATCAACTGTTGTTGTTTTAAATGTTCCGACTACATGCCAACTATTTTCTCCTTCAGTTTCTAATGATTTTAGATCATTTTTCGTATCGATATTTGAGATTCCATTTGATAATGTTGTTTGTGAAATTTCATGATTATCTATTTAATAGCGTTCAAAAAATATAGTAAAACAAAAACAAAAACTCATAAATTACTTGATGATCGCTGAACATTCGTATTTATTGTAGTTGTTTGCTGTTGTATGGGACTAGCGGAATTTCGTAATACTGAAATAACAAAAAAAAATTTCTTTGTGCTCAACTATCTTTGTCTTTAACATACCATCGGATGGCAATCCATTTTCTAGAGACTAAAATAAAAATTTATTCAAAATATTCATTAGAGCATATCAATAATAGTAGTGAGAGTATTTGTATAGAAACGCTGAAGAGAAAACTTTCTCTGTATATGAGCCGATTGTAAAGCAACGACTGGATAATTTTCAACATAGAAGGAATTCATGAAGAAATATTCTCATTTTAAATAGGTGAAATTATAAATCTATACGTTAGTTTAATTAAAAGCGGATTAAAATGAGTTCAAGGGTCGGCCTTTTTGTTTAAAATGAGTTTCAACATTACGATCGCATACAGCAAAATAAACTACTCTATCCTCAATTGAAATGTTTCGGTAGTTACTTTTATAATTTTCTTACTAAATAAGTCCATCGATTGATAAATGACTTCTAATCCAAGGCAATCTACGTCGTGTAAATCTTAATGAGCTAAACCGATCTTCAAGATCTTCATTAATTATTGCTGACAGACTGCCTTATATTGAGCTTGACATCATGTATATAGATACAGCTCTTAGCAAAGATAGGTTGTCTGTAAACGTTTCAGATCTTATCGTTGTTTCTATCCTAAGATACAACTCTGTTAAAATCATGTCTTATAAATTACTTATATAAACCGAAAGATTTCAGACATGTCTATCAAGGTAGTAAATAGGCTTCAGAATTTCTCAAAGAACTATTTTTCTATGTGAAATTTGACCTATGAATTCAAAAGTCAAGTTGTCTGCTGCTCCTGAGAAATTTCATGGCAATCATGTTTATGAAGTAAAATATCTCTAGAGCAATAAATTAGAAACATATATTTTAAACTCATTGAGATCTACACAATTCGTATAGTCTTCTGTTAATAAAATAAATTTGTTCACTCAAATGCTTTTCCAATGAGTATATTATTTACACGAGAAATATTACCTGATCATCAATAGTACCATCAATTTGTGGAATAAATTCATCATGATTTATTATCGAACTATGCTTTTGTAATGATTCCAATATGTATTCAACATTTGTTTGTGTAGCGCAATGTTGTGAAGCCATTTCTATTGAATCACATCCATCAAGTTGCTGCATTGAATTATCTATTGTTGGTGGCGGTGGAGTTTGATTAGTATTAATCAAATTTGATTGATCAATATGTCCCATTGATAATGTAAATTTTGACGATTGTCCTTGATTATTATTTAATGTATTTTGATTAAGAACTAAAACCTGTTGTTGTGCTTGAGGTAATGTAGTTTTTTGTTGTGTATTCGTTGTTAATACAATGGACTGTTGTTGTTGTTGTTGTCGATTTGGTGTAGTAATAGCTTTGATAACTAATGGTTGTTGTTGTTTGTTGGTATTCAAGTGTATGATTTGTTGCTGTCCTGTTGCAGGTCGGATACCTGATGCTGTTTGTGACATCAATCGAACAAACGTTGTTGGTTGCGTTGATGAACCACGCATAACAGGTGTTAACTGTTGAACACGAACACCAGCCGGCATCACAGTAAGAAGTTGTGGTTGTGTTGATGTTGTTGCTGATTTTTGATGAAAAATAATTGGACGAACACCTGAATTTGAAGTAGCATTGAGAAATTGAATATTCGATCCTGCTGCTGGTCGAATAGCTAGAAAGGAAAATTTAAAATGTTGTGATTTTCTGTTCGTTCTCAATTTTACTTTGTGTAGGATGCGAAACAAAGTTGGTTGATGTTGGTTTTTGAAAGAGTAATGTTGAATTTATTGTACTGTTCGAAGACTAAATAAATATCTTGATAATTTTTCAAAAATCTAGCAGAGACTAAATTACTTGTGATACAGTTGTCAATGCTGATGAGTTAACTGTAGCAGTAGACGAAGCAAGTGATGTTTGTGATGATGATAAATGAGCTAATGACAGTAAATCTGATGTAGATTTATTTAACAATGTTGATGGGGAAAGACATCGATCAACAGTTGTATCTATAATTTATTTAAATTTAGATAACAATCAATTTTTATCTATAGAGAAAAATATCTCATTACCATTGTCATTTATTGCAGAAACAGATGCATTTGATGGATGTTGTTCTATATAGAAATCATAAAGAAAAATTGATTCATTAGTAAAATGAAATTTACCATTTGAAAATGTTGGTATCAATGATGCAAGAACTAATTAGACAAAATATAATTTAATATTTATACAATTGAAATTATTGTTTTACCTGATTGAGGACTTTTCGAGGCAAATAATGAAGCCGATATGGATTGTAATGGTAAAGATATAGGATTTAAAGATGTTGGAGGTGGTTGTTCAATAGGTGCTTCAAAACGCTGAATTTGTAAAATGTATGAATCAGCTGTAAAAGAAAAAGAAGAAAAACAAGCGACAATAAGGTTCCAATTAAAAATTCAAATAAATTTACCCGTTGGAACAGGATTCCATGTAATTTCTAAATTTCCAATGCCAGCTTTGAGTAGTTGTACTTTTTCTGGTTCACTTGGAGATGCTGTTTCCAAACACCATAAATCTTTACAACAAACCTATTCAAATAAAAAACAAAATTTTCCTTTTAAGATAATAGAAACGATTGATTTTATTGCATACTTGATTATTCCAAGCTTTTCGATAACCGTCTCGTCCACTCCAAATATACATTCTTGTATTAACAGAAACAGCGCAATGGCCAGCACGTGCTCGTGGAACATTTTCATCGAGACATTCTTGTCCAAGAAGTTCCCATGTGTTTGTTTCTAGACAAAACAATTTTTATTGATTTACTCAAATAATTATTTTTCTTTTGAGATTACCTAAATTGACTGCAGCTAATGTATTCGTACACTTCCATTCTTTTTCATTAGTATGTTGTTCATTTTTATCGGAAGAAATCAATGGTACCCAACCACCAAAAATATACATACTAAATAATTCTAATAAATCAAGACACCAGAATAAAAAGAAAGGATAGAACACTAACCGATGACCAATAATAACAGATGAATGAAGACTACGTGGTTGTGGCGCTAAACCAGTTGCAACGATTTGTGTCCATTGAGATAAATCTTTTTACAAAACAAAAACTCAATATGCTTTCATTTCAATTATAGATAATAAATTCTACCTAGATAATAATTCCAAATATCACCTAATCGATGACCATTCATTCCACCATAGACAATTAATTTTGATCGACTATCGTTTCGTCCGCGATATCCAACACACGTATGAGATTCACGTTCCATCGGTTGTGTACTACGCATAATTGGTTGTTCCCATAAGTAATTATTGCTTTTAAATTCAAGTGTATACAAATCATTTAAATATCTAAAAACCAAATTGTGTATTATTTGTTTTCTTTTTGATTCACTGATTTCTTACCGAGGTACATTTTGCTTTGGATCTTTACTATCATTAGCTAAACCACCAAAAAGATAATATTTTCCATCAAAATATGTTAATGTATGTCCTAAAACAAATCGAATGATATCAATTATCGAATGATAAGAGAAGAATTTTACCCAGTCTGGCACATGGTAGTGGAGCTATTTTTGGTGGTCGTCCTTTTATTTTTCTCCATTGCCATGTTATAGGATTAAGTTCCCAAAGATCTGCTGAATATTTTCCATATTCAACCATACCACCGAAAACAAGAATTCGTGAACCATCCGTAGCAAAACCAAATGCAGCACAACCTGTCGGTATATCACCTTTTATCAATGGTTGAAACCATTGATTTGTAGCTAGACAAACAAACAAACGAACAAAACATAAAATGCTTTTCATTTCAATTCTTTATATTTACCACAATTAAAAACATTAATATCTTCAACAATACCATCGTTACCTCCGCCAAAGATAATAATCAAATCTTTGACAGCTACTGCTCGATGACCATGACGTGGCTTTGGATTTGAACCGGTTGTAGCATCAAGACGTTTCCATTGAACTTTTGTTGTCATCACATCAGTATTTATTTAATAGATCGATTCACCGAAATTAGGATTGAAATAAATGAATAATGAATAGAAGCTGGATACACAGGGAGATAACCACTAAGTAGCAGCCATTATTATAATCATTATTTAATCGATGCCTTTATCGATCATCAGGTTTTGACAGTTGAAAGATATTTTCAGGGTAAATTACGATTTTTCTGTTATGTCTTAACTTAATAAGTAATTTCAAATATAATAAAAATACGATGAATTTTTTTCGTTCCAATTCAGTTATGCATCTCAATCAACCAATCAGATTTTTTTCTAATTGAGGAGTCACTATGGTAACAGTAGATGGAAATGGTTGATACGTCAAGAGAGTAAGTAAGCTATTGAAAATGTAAGAATAGTTGAAGTTCTTTTTTTTTGTTTTCGTTATTGTATTCAAAAAGATCGTCCTATAATTGTATGTTGTTTTCATTTCAAACTCATGTCTGAGTGCTAATCAAAACAATAGATATAGACATTTAATTCTAAATTTAGTTCAAACATACTTTTCAAATGTATAAAATAGCATTTTCAATAACGACAATAAGTTTTCAAATCAATTCAACATTGTTAAATAGATCTTAATTTTCAAAATTAATCCTTGAAACAATTACATTTACTTGAATATATGTTGAACTCGAGCATTCAAAAGTTTCTTTTGTAAAGCTTCTTTTGTCAAGCACGTGAATTCAATTGCAAATGACTTCTGATTCGTATCTGACATCAAAGTCGACAATATCAATATCAATATAAAACAAAACAGAAATATTGATATATTGATGATATATTTTTCAGTTTTCTTAGAATCTACTATTAGATTTCCTAATAGAACATATTATACAGAGTTGAAATTATGTCACACATTTCTTTTTAATATTGATGTTTAACTTTTGATGTATACTTATCGATTGCTTAGTTCAATTAGATGGAAACGTCAGAGCTTGATTTGAGTCGTATTCATGGATTTACATCATGGATCAATATGCGACTAATGCCTTTTGAACAAGGTCTTAATCATATCTTAACAGATTTAATGAAAGGCACTAATATGAAAATGTTATTACAAAGTGTTACTGGAACCACGACAGAAAAAATTCAATCGTTTGAAAAATTAAGTCCTGAACAAATAAGAACTCGATGTGAATGGGCTGTTAAACACTTGAAAGAACAGTAAGATATTGTTTTTTCTTTCTTATTCAAACAAAACAAGGGGAGGAGCTTATTTATTTTAGTCAAGTGATACCAGAAGATGTTCAAGTAGATGCTCGTTTATTTGCTGTACGAAGTGCAAAACATGTTTGTATTGAAACTTTTTTCTTCTATATATGATCGGAAAACTTTGACTTTGTCATCCAATGTAGGTATTTGATCTCCTTTGGCGATTAGTCGAGCATGATATTTGGTTTTTATGGGAACGGATCGATTTTCTTCTTCAAGACGATGCAGTTGCATTATTATCAGTACCGTTGAAGGTAAGATAGCTAAATTTCAAAGTGCTGACATATTGCTATTGTACTATAATAGAAAATTTGCCATTCAATATGAATTTTTATACTATTTACGAAGTTGAATAAATATCAGTCAAACTATATTCGTTAGTATAATACCAAAACTATGGTTTAGTAGTTTGTTTTTTCGAGAGGATAGGAAAAAATGCAATTCTTAGAGATATTATAAACAGATAGCCATTTCATATTTCTTATAATCAAGGAATTTTTTTATACAAATAATAAATCTCAATAGTTTCTCATCAGTTTTTCTTGTGTGCATAATAGAGCGAAGGAAGTATTGAATATAATTGTTTTTTAGAATTGAATAAACTCTTCCTCGAATAAAATTTCATTATTAATATTAATTTCTAATTTGATTTCAGTGGATTCCAACTGATACTTCATCGATAACGGATAAGCCGCCTGTAAATGTATCACTCTTAGCTGGTTTTGGTACAAAAGATGTTGTAGATGATGTCATGACTCAAGCTGGTCAAGTAGGAACATATTATTTTACAGAATATTTCATTTAACTTCGTTTTGTTCATTCTATATAGCCTGGTAAAAAGCCAGGTAAATTCTCTGAAACTGAACAAATGCTTGCTTTTTCTAAACGAAATCTTACGAAAAAATATCCGAAACCAAGTGCATGTATCATTGAAATGATTCAAATTGTTTTACAAGTAAACTTTCAAGTTTAATTGAATTCACTGTCTTTTTGTGTCAATATAGAAACTTCCAGAAGGACGCAGAATTAATTTTACTAAACTAAATGAACTATCGGATTTACGAGTTTTATGTAGTTTAGTAAATTATTTTGTACCAAATCTTATTCCAACTGAAATTCTACTCAATGACAGGTTAAATTTATTTTTAATACGAGTACATTATGTTATGTCTATTTGATAGATGGAGTTTAAATTTAACACTCGCTATTATTGATGATGTTCTGTGCTGTAAATCAAATTTAGCCTCCGAAGATCTTGTCTTGGTAACTAAATATAGCAATGAAACAAAAAATTGAAATTAAATTAAAATTTTTTTCAGGGCGACGAAATGTCAATCTGTGCATTTATGTGTTATTTTTTTCTAGTCTTTCTAAAATATCGTCAAAATGAAATTGCTATTCGACGAACAGTATAATTTTTGAAACGAAAAAATGTTTCGTGGTTTTCAATTTTTATATTTAGGAGGAAATCCGGCGAAGACACTTCAATGCTGTGCAAAAACTTCGTGCAACAAATCAAAGTGGTCAGGTTATAGATATGCCATATATAGAACAAGAAGTCTTCCAATGCAGTACTGGTAAGTACAATGTATAATAGATATTTCAGAGAAAATGAACCTGTATGTGTTGTGCTGCGTGTTTTCATTTGTTTAATAAAAGTATTTGTAGTTGGTACCGATTCTTTCCAATGAATAGAGATCCGGAATCTGTTCAAATGAAATATTTTTCTCGATATTGACGTATGTGAAGAGTAACGTTTTTATCGATGAGTTACAGTATAACAATAAGAGTCTATAGAGAATTCTCCATATTCAGCTAGTAAGAAATATTAATTCAAATTTAATTGAGACTGTTTAATATCTAGAAAAATTTTCTTTTCCAAGCGAAATTTACACTTGAACATACTTGTATAGGTTTCATCGAAATATAGATAGATCTTTTCTTCCATTAAAGTTTCTACATAAAATGAATGGTAAGTAAATTTAGTTGCAAGTATCTCATGCGTATCATCAACCATCTATTTTCATCTAACTGATTGTTTTATATCGGAATATCAATGCATTTTTAAGAAAATGATGTTTTATATATTTAGAATTATCAAACTTAAGAAAAAAATATGATTTACAAAGTGCATTACAATGGCACGAACATGTTGAACAAACTCGATTGAAAGTAAGAAAATGATTAGTTTTTTTTTTACTAATTAAAAAATATTATTTCAAAAAGGTAATAACAATAATTGGAAATAAACTTAAAGTGCGTTTTGATTGGTTTGATATACCTGAAGAGATAACAATAGCAGAAATTTGTCGACGAAAAGCAGTTAATCTAGTAATGATATCTGAACAGAATAAGAAAAATAATGTCGAAATGAAAAATTCTCTCTTAAATTAGGTTCTTACGGAAGGTTCTGCATTTTATCGAATATTAGATCAAAAACAAGAAATCGTTACTGCAGAACGATCGTTTATTTTAATACACAAGCAAACGCGGCAAATCATTGTTGATAAATCGTTATGTAAAAGTAAGAATTTCATATAGATTTATATATATTTAACAATAAGTTTATCAAAGGGGATGACGATAGTCTCAATCCAATTATCCGAAAAGGTAAGTATAGCTAAACAAGGCAATAGAAATACTTCATAATTTTTCATACAATAGCAAACGTTCGTTCAATTTTGGGTATTGCCAATGCCAATGATCATACGGAAGTAAAAGCAGATCGATATCCTCAATATGAAGTATAGGAAGAAGAATTTGGTTTTTCTTTTCGATCATACTTTTAATTATTCGAAACTAGGTTTACATCAATTCTCCATCTCAAAATAAAGTTTTACCTGATAAAACAACATTTTTATATCAAGTGTTTCCTGATTCATTAAAATTCTATCATAATTTTCTTCTCAAAGCCTGTGGTGAAGGCCATTTTGATTCTGTTTTTCATCTTGTTCAATTTCTTCAAAAGCTCTATCCAGATTTTATTAATATGCATGACGCATATACATTAAATACAGCGCTACATGTTGCTTGTAGACATAACAATATGGTTGAGTTTCTTTTGTTCTTGTTCTGTAAATTTTCGAATTACTTTTTATTTTTTTATTTCAAAGAATATTGCTCGATATTGTTTGGATAATGGTGCTCATGTCGATAGTTTGAATAAAGATGGAAACACTCCTTTATTTTGTGCAGCCGAAAGATTTTCAAATTCATGTGCAAAGGTAAACTAACAGATTAGACATAACGAAATTATTATCCCTTTTTTCTTTCTTCATTTTTCGTCATTAGCTGTTACTTGAATATGGTGCAGATATGACAATTACGAATAGTCGAAAAAGAACAGTTACCGAATCGTGTATTAGTGATGAATTTCAACAAACATTAACCGGTAAAAAGAAAAGAAGCTATCATACAAGAGTACGTTCATTTTGATTCATTTTAGATGTCAGTACTTTTATTGGATCTGTAGTACCAGCTTTAACAAGTGGCGATAGAGAAACACTTGACAAAGTGATTTCTGATCACGTTGAAGATCGATATACACTAAGGTAAAATATTTTTCTATGATTTATCATTGATTTGATTTTTGCTTTTATCTAGTTCATTGAATAGCCGGTAAATCATACAGAGATTATTCACATATAATATCGTAGTCTTTGCAATTAAGATTTATCAATGGAAGTACTCTACTTCATACAGCATGCTATTTTAATAATATACCTGCTGTTAAACGTCTTCTTAAATTAGGTGTAAATCCTGATGTAAGAGATTATCAAGGTAAAACAGCTCTACATCGAACAAGAGATTTACAAATTATAAAAGTCAGCATTTCATTTTGTAGTTTCATTATTATTATAATAGTTTCTAATAGTTTCTTATTGAATCAAATGCTGATGTGAATGCAACAGATCATGATGGTAACACTCCATTACACACAAAGTGTGCTGGCGAATATAATAAGCCAATTGAATTACATGCTATTCAAGTTCTTCATGAATATGGAGCCTCATTGGAAAAATGTAATTCAAATGATGAAACATGTTTTCATATAGCAGCACGCAATGGACATACAGAAATCTTACGATTATTATTTGAACTTGGCGAAGAAACTGTTCGAGAATCTGTTCGAACAGTTGAACAAAAATTAACTCCACAAAATTTTTCAACACTTGCATTGGCCATACATAATGATCATTTAGATGCAGCTAAATGGTAAAAACAATAGAACAATCATTTTATTTATGATTCTTTTTCTTTGCGATAAAGGTTAGCTGAACATGAATTTACATTCAAACAGAATGAAGCTAAAGACTTAATTAATGAAATTCTAACAGAAAAAATATCTTCGTACGTTAGTTTACTGTTACTTTTTTTCTCTCATAATTGTTTAAATTTTTTATATGTATAGAGCAGAACCTGAACGTCTTTTACAATTTCTTTGTAAAGAAGGTAATGCAACATTATCAACTATTTATCAAGAAGGAAATACGTAAGAAAGAATTTAAGAAGTTTTGTCTTTCTTTTCAAGTTACAATTGTTATGATTCATTTCTAACTAGTGCTCTCCATTTGGCTGCATCAATGGCATCTGTAGAACCACTAAAATTATTATTGACACTTGGTTTTGATCCAAATGCAGTTAATCAAACAAAAGAAACACCTCTATTTGTTGCTGCTCGTACGAATAATTTAGATGCAGCTTGTGTTCTTATCGATAATGGTGTTGATTATCGAATTAAGAATATTGAAGGTAAAATCTATTTTCATAATAGAATTTCAAAATTTATTATTAAAATCAAATCTTTAGGCTATACAGCATTTGATTATATTCTTGATATTGATGAATGGTTATCATCAGATAAATTCGATGAAGAAACACAAGCATGTTTTCGAGCTTATAAATATAAAGATATACGAACATTAATCTATACGGTATCATCGAAACTTGATCAATTTGATGCACGTATAACAGCTAATCGTAATATACATTTACAGAAGGCATACCAAAAATTTAGCTACGAAATCAATAAAACTGAACAACAAGTTTTTCAATCGCCTCGTCTACGAAAACGATAAGATATTGCTAATCAAAATCAATTTTTGTCAATTGGTGATATAGAGTTTTATATTTTTCCATTTAGTATATCACTTTGTTTGTAATCGATTTTCCAATAAAAATTAAGAACATATTTTTTTAAAATAAACTATATACATAAAAATTCACAACAAGAAGCTCAATGCAAATATTGTAAACCAATTTTCTCTGTGATACTTTTCAATAATTCTTGTTGTATTTAAGAATGTATGAACTAGAGAAAAAGGCTATGGGGATTTTGAACTTTTGGAGGAAAAACTAACATTCCTTTTCCAGCATCACAAGGGTTTAGAATAGAACTACGGCAAATAAAAGTACAAATACCTTTGCTAGAACTTTGGTTCAGAGATGCAAGGAAGGTCCCGCTTTATCCAGAAAACTAGAAGAGAAACATAACTGCTATCATTGAAGAATATTATAGGTTAATTTATCATCATTCTATCGCGCTTTTAGTTATTTATCGAAGGAGATCCTCCGAGAACAATAAAATCTAAACACAAAAATGCATACTTATCATATCTTACCTTTCATAATGGCCTGTCTAACAGATTATGATAATAATCAGATATTATTTGCATATTCACGGCAATACTCCCACCATTTGTTGTCAATTCGATGGAACCTAGAAGGTCTTTAGAGCTCAATTTCTTTTTGAAATCTTGAGGATGTGGGTTTCTTCTCATAACAGCACCAACCTTCATATTCCACACTCTAGAAACCCACACCCATCAGATGTGAATTATTCGTGAAATTACCATACTTCTTAGCGCCTCTGTGTTTCAGAAATACGAGTTTTTTCCTATCAACACATACTCGAAATCTTTGAAAATTTGATCAACATTTTTCGATGTGAAAGTATAAGAATGCTCACGAAAATATTTATTAGTAAAATATAATTAAGACACAACAGAATGATTTCCCATAAGCAAAATAAGAAACAAGAATCGAAAATCGATATTTTTTAGCTATTTTCGAAATGTCATTAGCCTAATCGCAACGGTTATCATCTTCGGCAGTTTATTCAATCAACCAAAGCAAGAATCAATTTACAACAAAGGAAAATAATGGGAGTAATCTTGCACATTGTCCAATGGTGGTTCAAAATATATCAATCGTTTCACCATAGCACAATTCAGTCGTGTTTCTTCTCTTGTAAAGTTGTTTGTCACAATCTTTAAGTTACAATGAGACACTGTCAATTCGGTTAGACATGGTACACATGCCTTAGTTTCATTCAGAAATTGTTCAAGATAATCTTCGTGGCCGTGGCTCACATCAAGTGAAGTAAGATGCGGATATTCAATCATTGAATATGGTCAGATGATAATTTCATATAAACTGATATCTGCAGGTTGATATTGAAAACACGTAAATACTTCAACAATGGAAACGATCGGGCAATTCGAACGAAGAATTCATGTATAAATGCATCATTATCTTGCACAAGTAAATATGTAGCATAATTGAATATAATATTTGGAAATATATTGCCAAGATGTCTCATATAATCAAATGCAAAAGGCAGTGAGAAAATTGAACATTCAACTGTGCATCTACTAAGATAATTGACGATAGTAGCTGCATTTTGTTGTCCGATATTTATCAATGTTTGTTGAATATGTTCACGAGATAAATTAATAGATAAGTCACTAATGTCAATAGAAGTACTAATATAGAAAATGAATGAATGACGTTGTGGCATATAAACAAGAATATCATTTTGAACATAAGTGCCATCGATGATTCTATTTCGACCTTCTATACAAAGATAAAAGTTAAATCTTCCAAATAAGGCATACGACGAAGAAGCGATGATATTAGATCATATCGTTGAAATCGAAAGTAAGATTTTAATGAGAAGCATTTTAGATTAGGTAACATATCCTAGAAAAAAAGACAAATATCTTCATTAATCTACAAGACTAAATCATAAGCATCATGACTTGTCACACTAGTCGACGATCTTGACTTCGATCTGTCCAGATTCTTGTTTTCCTTGAATATCAGACAAGATTCTTTGTAATCATAATATTCAGACAAGATTCTTCGAGACAGGAAAGAAACAAGATTCTTGTCTGTTATTCAAGAAAAACACAATCTTGTCTGATTGATCAGATAAATAAGAATCAGGCAAGAATGGCAAGATATTCAAGATTTTTTTAAATTCAGGCAAATTTTTCAGACAAGAATCTTGTACAGAAGGAATGGCAAAAGAATCTTGTCTGATATTCAAGAAAAACAAGAACCTGGACAGATCGAAGTCAAGATCGTCGACTAGTGCATGCTGATCATATTTTTTACTTAATTTTGTTTTCTTCGAACTATACATTCTGTCTAGGTGTAGCAATGCTGATACATGGGTGCCTGTCTCTCTCTTTTCTAATAGGTCACTTTGAATTTCCTGGTTCATGGCAACAGAATATTGCCTCCACATTTCTCGTAATGAAACTCTCCGTTGACACTACGAGTTCTGTGCATTAAAAATCGAAATTCTCAGTAGATACAATTTCAATCGTTTATACATCAGTATTTATCCGATAATTTTCGTTCTTCGTGTAACATTAAAGCAAAAATGCAGTGAAGTAGTGATTATCTGTGTCTCATAAGTGACATCATCATCATTATCTATGAAAATTTACCATGTTGTGAACAATTGTTGAAGAGCTTTCTATGGAATAAACATTAACATTAAATGTGGTCAATTGTTTGAGTCGACCATCAAGTAAATAAAGACAATCATCAAAAGTTTCTACCATGATAGACAAATGGGTAACAATTGAAGAGAAAAAAGGGGTTTAGGATAGTTGGTCGCCGGACAGTTACGCGCGGACAGTTGGTCGTAGGGCAGTTGGTCGCATGGACAATTGGTCGCATAGCATAAATAAGAGGAATATATAGTGCAAAAAACGATTGAAAATTATTTATTATTTTATAAATAATTAAATAGAAAACATTACAGAGAAATTCGAACAATAAGACAACAAAATGTAAGAAGTAAAACAAAGTTTTCAATAGTGAATAAGACAGCAACCAAAAAAATTCATAGAAACCAAAGAATTTTTGTTACAGTTTTTCGATCAATTGTATACGAGCAACTGTTGTGTATTAATAATGGTGTATTTTTAGAAGTTTTTGTTAGAGTAACAGACATTACTACTTTCTTAAAATGATTTTTTTTAATTTTCAACAACTTATATACGCGTATATGTATACATGATTATCGTTAAATGAAAAGGATCATTAGATTAATATCCTTCATTTGAGCAATATTGAATTAATTACATCACTTAGTCAATCATGATGATTATTCTTCCACACCAGATCAATTCATTGTATTAGTGTTGTGTGGTTATTATACTCATATTCCTCTTATTTACACTATACGACCAACTGTCCGTGCGACCAATTCTCCATGTGACCAACTGTTCTACGACCAACTGTCCGGATCCCACACGACACGTACAGTGCCGAACAGAGATGCGACTAGAAAGAAAGAAAGAAAGAATACCCAAATACTTTTCGGTGTAGGGTGAGACAAAAAAACAAAAATACAACAAACAAACAAAAATAAAAATAAAGTTAGTGTTTTTTTGGTTGTTGGTCAGTCAGATCACATCTTGCCACTCTTTCAAGGTTTTCCATCAGATTCCCAACTTCCAAATGAATTGGGTTTAAATAGTAATCATCATACCACCAAGAAAGAAAGTCAGGATTTTGCTTTCATTTTACTTCTTCCATATTTTGATGTTGCTCTTCTTACACCAATGAGTTGCACACACTCTTATATGACCAGTTATTCCTTGCGGTTTGAACTTCGTTTTGCAGTTGGGACAGTCATACCTGTTGTGACAACCTTTTACCAACACTTCAGTCGCCTTTCGCTGAGGTTTTCCATGTGAAATGGCTAATTCTTCTGCTCTTCTTTTCTTTGAAAGATCTTTGAACTCTTGTATAATTGACTTAATGTTTGAAGGAACAGGATTCATTATGACATCTCTATTAATTATTTCACGCCACCTGTCTTTATCTTTGGTGTCTTTCCTCCAATTTTTTATGTCGAATTTCTCGATGTCATCCATGATCTTGTTTTCCCACCTTTTTCTTATTCCAGTATTTGTAGGACGTTTTTCACCAGGGAAATATGAAAACATAATTTTCTTA